CTGATTATTAGACCAGGGTTCTGGGTTTAGTTTCTGATTATTAAACCAGGGTTCAGGGTTTAGTTCCTGATTATTAAACCAGGGTTCAGGGTTTAGTTGCTGATTATTAGACCAGGGTTCTGGGTTTAGTTGCTGATTATTAAACCAGGGTTCAGGGTTTAGTTGCTGATTATTAAACCAGGGTTCAGGGTTTAGTTCCTGATTATTAAACCAGGGTTCAGGGTTTAGTTTCTGATTATTAAACCAGAGTTCAGGGTTTAGTTGCTGATTATTAAACTAGGGTTCAGGGTTTAGTTGCTGATTATTAAACCAGGGTTCAGGGTTTAGTTGCTGATTATTAAACCAGGGTTCAGGGTTTAGTTCCTGATTACTAAACCAGGGTTTTTGGTTTAGTTCTGTTAAATCATGATTCTGGGTTTAGAAAAAGACTAATTGCTCTGTTATAGTCACCCTGAAAGAACCTTTTTTTGCGAGACACTAATAGAATTTTTACTATGTCCTTTTGAATTCTGTAATACAAATATTGGTATATTATTGGATATGAAAGAGTTATCTTAATAGTTTTAGTTCTAAAGAAATTGAGTCTTTGCCACAAACTCAAATTTTCTAATCCCTATATCTGTTCAACCTGATGGTGCTAACTTTAGATATTTCAAACTCATATTATTTAATCCATCAGAATTAGGGGTTAGAAAATTAGAGTTTGTTACAAAGGCTCGAATCTTTTATCTGTTTTATCTGTTTTTTCAGCCTAAACTACAACAGGTAAGAATATTACAAATCCTGTCTAAAAAATGATCTGGAGAAGAACGTGAACCTTATCCCTAGATTAACCAGTACCTAGAGCTAGAATGGGTTCAGCATTTAGCGGGTTTGATTCCCGTCCTAGCTCTGCTGAGAGTGGATGGGGAAGCACTGTACAAAAAGACGAGGATCTGTATATTCCGATAAAAAATTACCAGGTTTAGATATTTTTCAAGCTTTTGTCTTGTATCATAGGGTCTAGTTAACAATTGTAAGGTCTTAAGTAAAATTCCAAGTTATGCAGTAAATCATAATCATAAGGATAAATAATAAATTCCCAAGGTCCGGAGTAAAATCCTAAGGTCTAGAGTAAAATTTAAATCGTGTACTGCAGACGTTGTGACAAAAATCAAGAAAATAGCCCTACTTTACCAGTTTATTAAAATTTTTAACTCACACCAAAAAATAAAAATTTTATTATATTATTATTATTATTTTAAACAGAGTTGAGAAGCACACTGAGTTTATGGGTTCAAAGTAAAGGAAAAACATAACATTGTTGTCGCTAAGGAACAAGATTCTGACGATGAACAGATAGACAAGGAATAACCCTCAAATCAAAATCAATAATGCAGAAAACTCTTTATTTCCTAAAAAAAATGAAATGAATAATGATAAATAATTGTTACAATGGTTTACAAATTTATAATGAAAAGATTCTTACGATCTATTTGCTTATTTGTGGGTTAACTGTCGAAAAGTCCTAAGACGCTTTTTATACATTAAAACTTCTGAAAAGATTAACAATTAAATGTTGAGGAAGGTCACTAATTCTTTATATGAAAATATTCTTGCTTAACTTTGAAGTGGTTCACAATTAATAAACGTTTATACTCCGTTGTCGGAGAACAAAGGGAAGCGGGCTGAAATTGTTTGGTTTGGTTTCTTGTCTCCGAGAGGAGCTTTTAGGTTGAAGACGACATTACATGGAGGGGGGGGGGGGGTCTTAATGTTAATGGTTGACAAACATGTTAAGTTAAAAATTATGGAAAATTTTAAAGCGGCGAAAATGTTTTCGTGTATTATATAACTTCAAAATCATGAATTTGGTCATGAAAGGGATCATGAAAGGGATCATGAAAGGGATCATGAGAGGGATCGATCTAAACCATCAAGATCTGTCACCCTCCCCTCTTACAGCAAATAGTTTGCAGTTAAGGGAAATATTGCATAATGGATGTTTAATTATACTTGCATACACTATTTACTTTTATGCAAAGCTTATTTTTAGGAATTATATGTAATTTATTTTGGGAACATTGGGTCAATCATAATTTCGTTTAACATTGCAGAGATATCGAGAAGCACAAAACTTTTTTGAATTTCTAATAAGTTTGTGCAAAACAACAAAACTAGAAGAGCTACAAGATCGCAAAGTCGTACAGTTATGTCGCTTAAAATTTGCCTTCTCACTCTGTCTAGTTCACAGTGTGAGTCTGCTAAAAATACAAATTTATATTCTTTAGAAGAGAAAAATAAAAATCAGAGTTTTGTAATACATGACTTATTTTCGCCAACAAACCATATGCATCCAAAATATTCAGTTTCCACCAAAAAGTTTATATTTTTTCAAACAAATATATCTTGAATAAGACTAGTTTTCGTTTAAATATATTCTTCTGATTTGATATATTTTAGCGATTGCACAAGATGGGTATCCCCAAGGTACTAATGCAAGGAAAGTTATTTCAGAGGTATACGCATTTTTTGTACTGCAGTGTACTGTGTTTGGGCGGAAAAGTAAACACGATACGGGTGTCACAGCCTGACATAGAATTAATTTTCACAGAAATAATTTTTTAAATATTCTGGTCATAGGAAACTGTTATGTGAATTTTCAAAATTATCAAAATTAAATGCTTTTATCCTCCTCGGATACTAAACGAACACTGATGCATCTATTCTTGTTTACAAATTCCACCCAGATGTACGCAGAGTACACCCGACCGCAATTAATTTTCCTTGCATTAGTACCTTGGTTTTCCCCAAGTCTCATAAATATATAATCTATATAACGTTAATATATTTATGTATGAATAATACATATTAGTATATTCTTATTTTGCTCCTCAGATTAATATTTATTGAAGAATAAATATATGCATACATAATACATCAACACACAGATACAGACTGCTTTGACAATTTGCATGCATTTTCAAGACGGGGCCGACTTTAAACTGTCGCAACGCCTTGGACTTTGATTCTATCTCATTATTCAAAATCTGTCTGTACGTGAGCCCGACTGAGAACAGTTTTGGCTTGTTCCGTCTGCCTTCTTCTGTAATCATAAATATCCATTTTTACATTATTTATGGTAAAATATATAGCTTAATTTGATTTGATTTGAGGTAATTGGCAAAATTCTCATCGACTTTTCCATGCAATCTTTTAATCGAGTGTCCCATTAAACATCAGTAGTAAAGGGAATACAGACGTATTTTGAAGTGACCCTCCATTTGCGGAGTGTTCGATCCACACCGAACCTCTGAAAAACTTTGCGGATTTCTGCTACAAAACAATGAAGGAAACGTAAACACTGTTCAAGCTAAAATAACGACGATATCTTGCACTAAATACATTTACAATTTTAAATAAAGGATCACTTGAGAATAGTAATACTTCTATCTGTTCCGTTTATTTGATCGCTACTAATCTTACTTCTATCTGTTTCCTTTATTTGATCGCTACTAAGCTTACTTCTATCTGTTGCGTTTATTTGATCGTTACTAATCTTTCTTCCTACTAATCTTACTTCTATCTGTTGCGTTTATTTGATCGTTACTAATCTTTCTTCTATCTGTTGCGTCTATTTGATCGTTACTAATCTTACTTCTATCTGTTGCGTCTATTTGATCGCTACTAATCTTACTTCTATCTGTTGCGTCTATTTGATCGCTACTAATCTTACTTCTATCTATT